CGCAGTTTCTGCCAGCACCTCAGGAGCCTCCTCTACCTCTGACACAACATGACGTTTCCCATCAAGAACACCAAGTCCCACCTAATTGAGTCACAAAGCTCCATGAGCATAACCATTCTAGAGAGAATAACAAGAGGAGACATCTAGAGGAACATGACGAAGATGAGGCCCATCGCCAAGCTAGAGTCGCCTATCGAGAAGACAGACCCCACCCCCAGTCGGAAGCCATAGATCACCTATGGGAGCAAAGACTTCATGAGCTCCAATGAGAGCTCGAAAACATGGAAGAAATGGTTAAGGGGAAGACTCCTGACACCATGGACTCTCTAGTCCAGCAAATCGAGTCATCGTTCGCTCCTAAGATCCTCAATTTTTCTTTCTCCTAGAAGTTTCGGATGCCATCGATAGAGGCGTTCGATGGGACCAAAGATCCAGTTGATCACATGAAATAAAAATCAGATGGAACTCCAGGGGTACCTAGACCCAATCTGCTGCCGAGCTTTGTTATCACCCTCAAAGGGTCGACAATCGCTTGGTTTAATAGGTTGCAACCAACATCGATCTCCTCCTTTAGGGAGTTATCTATACAATTTGTGTCACATTTCATCGGAGTGAGGACATACAAGAAGCCTTCCTACCACCTTTTGAGCATCAAATAAAAGCCCAACGAGTCCTTTTGGAGCTATGTGCAACGCTTCAACCAAGAGTGCTTGAAGGTAGAAAGTGTGGACGAAAAATTCGCTCTTACCACCTTTATATTCGGACTCGGAGTCCAATCTAAGGACCTCCTATTTTCGATAGCCAAAAACCCTCAGGCCACCATGGCCGAAATGCTCACTAAAGCCGATAAATACATCAATGGCAAGGAGGCCATAAATGTATGAAATGTCGTGATTGGATGGTTTTCTTTTTCCCTTTCAACTAAAGCTATGTATGCAGTCAACTTTTTTTTTCCGTGGAGGCATGAATAAATGTGAAATAGCAAACTTTTGGGTCATTCACTATTATTAGTTGTATCATCATCATTATAATTATATTGTAACCTTATTGTTAATTAAACCAATATTTTTTTTTATATCCTCTTCTTTTGCTGGTTACTTTAAAGAAATGATATGTTCCAATATTTTTTTTTTGATTAATTTTTATTGGTGTTTGATAGGATGGAAAGGGAATCTTTAAGTACTATACACGCGAATGAAGAAAATGTTGGAATTGAAATGGATAATGTAGTAAATATGGATGACGAAGTGGAAGAGCCCAAGGTTGGGATGATGTTTAATAACTATGAAGATTTTTTTGAATATTACACAACTTATGAGAAGCGATTGGGGTTCCCAGTTAAAAGAAGATCATTAACAAAATCAGATGACAGATAATTGAAATATATATCGGTTGCTTGTTCTCGATCAGGAAAATCATAACGCACTACGAAAAATCCTCTCAAGCCACATCCAAGCAAAAAACAGGTTGTAAGGCTAAAGTCCTAGCAGTTTTATGCCCCGAGGGAAAGTGGCGATTGAGCACTGTCATGCTTGATCACAACCATGAGATAAATCCAAGCAAAACTTGCTTTTTTCGATGCAATAGAGTAATGAAGCCACATGTAAAACGAAGGCTTGAGTTGAATGACAGCGCTGGGATTAGAATAAATAAAAATTTCAACTCTTTTGTGGTTAAAACGGGTGGACACGAGAATATGTCATTTTTAGAGAAGGATTGTAGAAATTTTATTGAGAAAGTAAGGCGATTGCGACTCGGAGAAGGAGATGCTACGGAAATCCAAAACTACTTCTTGAAGATGCAAGTTGATAATGCAAATTTCTTTTATGCAATGGATTTGAATGAAGATGGACGATTAAGGAATGTATATTGGGCGGATGTAAGGAGCAGAGCAGCATATGAGGAATTTGGTGACGTTGTAACATTTGACACAACGTACTTAACAAGTAAGTATGACATGTCATTTGTTCCATTCGTTGGTGTTAACCATAATGGGCAATCGACGTTGCTTGGATGTGGTTTAATCTCCAATGAGGATACAGAGGCGTTTACTTGGTTATTTCAATCTTGGCTTGCATGCATGTCTTGGAATGCTCCAGGTGCCATAAAGACTACCTTGAAACAATTTATGGAACAGTATGAGAATGCATTGAAAAGTAAGGTGGAAAAGGAGACCCATGAAGACTGTAAGTCTTCCTCTTCACAGGTCCTATGTGTAAGTCATTATGATATGGAGAAAAAAGTTCAAAGTGTTTATACTTTTTCAAAGTTTAAAGAGTTCCAAAATGAATTGATAGGAAAGATGTATTGTGATTTAACTTTAACTAAAATTGATGGTGTGACTTCAGAGTATGAAGTAATTGAGGATAGAATGATTGAAGGGAGAACAAAGACTGCAAATTTCAAGGTTTGGTTCGATGAAAAGGATTGTGAGGTGAAGTGCAATTGTTGCATGTTTAAGTTTAGGGGAATATTATGCAGACATGCAATCAAAGTGTTAATTTGTAAGAAGATTTACTTAATTCTTGATAATTACATCTTATGACAATGGAGAAAGGATGTGAAAAGATGCCACACAAAAGTCAAAATCAGTTATGATTGTTGGAGTACCGCGCCAGAAACACTACGATATGATAAAATGTGCAATGCATTTAGTGAGATTGTAGACCTGTCAACAGAATTTGAAGATAAGTGCATGGAAGTGATGGATTGGATACATGATTTGACGGTGAATCTACAAAAAAATGGTAGCAGTGGAAGTTATCAACCAACTCCCAACTTAGTTGTTCGTAAAAAACTCTAGTTGTGATACTAATGATATATTAAAGGAGAGTTAGAAGATACTTACTCCATTAGCAGTTTGAAGCAAAGGACGCCGCCCATCATTTAAAAGGGAGCAATCTAAAATGGAGCAAGTTGTTAGGAAAAAAATAAAAGAAAAGAAAAAGAGGACTTTACCACCTGGAAATCATAACCTTGAAGAAAAATGAATGAAGGTTTGAATAAAATCCTTATAATTTGTGTATGTGAAGTAATAAATTTATGTTTACAATATTTCATAATTATTCTTTATGTCTTGCAGGATTCCCCAGTGGTTGGAAGTGATGTTGTTAGTTCTGTTGATGGTCCACCCAATAGAGAAGTTGTTGATGCAAGTGGAACACAAGAGAGTATTATTATCACGGTATAAACTAGTTGGTTTTAAAAATATTCGTTGTGTTCATACTTCAAACTAATTGTTACTGTAACTACTGTTCCTAATATATTGCCCTAAACAAATGTAGGATTCACAAAGTTAACAAGTTACTAATGTTGGTATGAGTGATAGTCAGTACCCTACATTGCACTTTTGTAACGTGAGTTAATGAAAATGACTTTTGTTATTGTTCTATTGATTTCGTGTGTTAAGTTGTTTATTAAGTTAGTGTATATTATTTATGACACAGAATAATTTGATCTTACTGTGGGGTGTCACTCAAAAAGGTTATCCAAACCAAGCACATGGGATAGAAAATATAGCAAATCATGCTTTCAATGAAAACCATTTCATGGTAAGCAATCTACCATAGTATCCGAAGTTATTCTCGTGCTATAACATAATGTGTAGTTAATGGTCTTTTTTTTTCGCTTATTTAGCATAATCAATATCTAGCTCCAAAGAACCAGTAAATATTCAAGAATTGCCAACTACACCTTTATCACCAACGTCTAATGGAAAATAAATTTGGTGAGTTAGAAAAATGACTTGCAAATGAAATGCCATGATTTTATTATTTTACTTGACTATTTCTTTTTTCTTTGGCAGGTCTTGAAGGATGATGGTGTAGTTGACATATGGTAGAAAAAGATATCAAGTTGTTGGGGTGAAAAAAGAGGCCAAGTTGTTGGGAGGGGCACAAGTGATGTAGGGATTGGATAAAATTAGAGCAAGAAAATAAAAAAAAATTAAGAACAATATCTTTTTAAAAATGAAGATTGTTGTGCTTTTGGCTTTTTTGTGAAATTGTTATTAGTTTGTTTTTTTTTTTTGGTGAAACTACAATGTTTTGTAATGACAATATCTGTTTTTTTATGCTCAAAGATATGATTGTGTAGACAGTTTAAATTTGCAAACTCATCTCCATCTTGAAATCTTATCTTGTCGACAATCTGTTCATGTGTAGTACCAACATATCCCCCACTTGCCATGCACAAGGCTTTCTTGCAGCAGGCTTTTAACTGCATAAAGAATCAGCTGGAGCAGTTATGCTGGCAATATTCACAGTACTGTTCAGCTAGATTATTTCAGTTGGAGTTTTCAATTGGATTTTCTGCTTTAAACAGTCTTTTCATGTCAATTTTCACTCCATTTAGCTGGTCCATGGGCTACTAATTTTTTTTTTTTGGAGTTAAGTAATGTCTGAAGCTGTCAAATGCACTGATTCACGTTATTGGTCTGAAGATACTGCAGCTGGTTTCTTATTATTTGAGTTGGACTCTTATTTGACTTGGACTTTTATTTGAGTTGCTTCCACAGGTTTCATGGCAGCACATGTGTGTGCAACCTTGCTGGAATTCAAACTCTTTAACTCACACATATTTAACAAATGTGCAAAGCAAAATGAAAAATTTCTAAACCTTGTAGATTGCCATCACATTCATCAAAGGGCAAAAGTAATCATTCCCCTTTCATTATTTTTGCATAAATAAAACTAAATGTGTTTACATGACAAATGTATACAATTTTGAAACCACTTCTACAGTAAAGGCTTCACCAACTACTACAATTTCACTCCAGCAATCCAATTAACAACAACACTCATACCCCACTCCAATAACAACTAGTCCCAAGACTAGACAAAGTGCGGCATGGACTCTCTTTTCCTTAATCAGAACCTAATAAATTCAAATCAACATTGTTTGAGGCAATTCATCAAACAACTTGTAGACGAAGTCTAGTTGCAAAGTATTTCAATACAAGCACGTACAAGGAAGCCAAATGACAACAACACTCATAGCCCACACCATCTTTACTAGCCAAAGTGTCGTACTCCATGGCATTGCCATCGCTCACCTTAGACTGAATACGAACAATTGAAACTCAATAACCCTGCTCTAATTTAAGGAAAATCCTTTAGGATCAATGATTTAACTTTTTTCCTGAGAATGAATGAAGGTAATCGAAACCCATTAAACCCACTTCAAATTAAAGGAAACCCCATTTCACGCCCTACCTCTTCTTCTCAAAATATTTCAGCTTTCTTCCTGAGAATGAATAAGGGCAATCAAAACCCAATAACCCTTTTTGAATTCAAGAAAAAACCATCTCAACTCAATCAAGCGTCGATTTCTTTTTCCTCCTCATATTCAACAATTAAGCATCGATAAAACACAGGTGAACAGAGACGCCTACTGGAAAAGAAGGGGAGGGGAGGGGTTTAATGGGTGATCCCAAATGGGTAAGAGTGACAGATTTTGATAAAATAGAGGAAAAGAAAAAGAAAGAGAAGGAAATGAATAGTCAAGATAGAAATGAGAAGCAAAATGTGAGGTGTGATGGTAAAGGGAAAGGCAGATCTTCGCCCATGGGAATAGGGAAAATGATGACTTCTGATTCTTTATTGGTTGCCTGTGACATTGGATGTGAGAGAGTTCTACGGGAAAATGCTAAAAAATTGTCTTGTTGGAGAAGTTGCTGATGTGGCAAATTCACATCATTCGCCACATCATTAGGTCAGTATTTCAAGAAATTAGGTCTCAATAATATTACTTAAATTTTAAATAATAAATAAATAAAAATAGGACAAGTCATTATTACAGTGCCACATCATTTGATTCGTATGAAATCAAGCAAAAATCTCAATTAAATGTCTCCAACTTTTTACATTAAATAGTTTTTTTATTATTAATTTGACAGTCAAAAATATTTGAATCAATTTATACGTATTTCGATATTAAATAATTTCTCAACAAAACTTTTGGCTCTTAGACAATACTATGACAAACTTAGCTTATACTCAACTTATATATGATAAGATCTTCATAAATGCATGCGACGGTAAATTATAGATGTATTTGATATAATTAATTAAGAGCAATGTTTTATGAATTTAAAAAATAAATTTAAAAATTAGATTTGATAATCTCAACTATTGATTTTATTGTGGGTCCCAGTATTTATTAGAACTCACTACTTATTTAATAATTAAAATTATTAAATTTAATTTTTAAATTTATCAAACATTACTCATTAATTAAATTTTAAGATAAAACAACTTAAGCAGGCGTATCTGACAGAACCTCAGCCTTAATTACAACCTTATCATCCATTTCGATCCCAATGGCTTAAACCGATGACTCCTACTCACCCTTTTGTCTTCTAGTCCAAATGGCAATTAATTCCTGTTGCTTTTTATTGCAGGAAAGCCACTTGTAATGGTGGTTTTCGCACAGCACCGCCGGAAGGGCCATGTGAATTAGCTTCATCTCCTCTATAATCCCCCTTCTCTCTCTCTCTCTCTCTCTCATGGCTACAAACAATAATGGTGCTGCTGAGACGGTAAGGTACAAAGAGTGTAGGCGCAACCACGCAGCCCATCTCGGTCGCCAAGCCATTGATGGATGCAGCGAGTTCTCGAAGAGTGGGAACGACGGAACACCAGAAGCTTTGCTTTGCGCCGCCTGTGGGTGTCACCGGAATTTTCATCGCAAGGAGGAGCAGCCACTCTCCCGCCGTCAAGAATTAAGGCACTACCTCTTTCGTTACCTTTCTGAAGCCGCTGCCGCTGGCCCTCCACCGCCGCCACCACCACCTCGTGCTTTAGATCATGCAAGACCAAACGATGTAAGATCTGAAAGGCTCGGCGAAGAGAAAACTGAGGATGGAACCCAAACTTGATTTTCCTTCGGTTAGTTTCTTTCTTCCTCCAGTCGGATGCAATATATTGATTCAGCTTTCTAATTACTTGCTTTGGATTCTCTCTCTCTCTCTCTCTCACACACACACACATACTTGGGCGGGCTAATACAAATGAGGCTTTTTATTTTTATTTAAAAATTTATTCTTTTTTTTTTAAATTAAAAGTATTATAATTTTTGTTGTGATGATCGATCTTAGGGAAGATTTTATAAATTTTAATTTCAAACAATTATAGTCTATTGATTTTAATTTTTATAGTATAATAAAAAAATATTTTGGTTTATTTTACATAATAAAATAAATCGTAATACAAAAGAAAAAAAAATTTGTATTTAGTAAAGAGTGAGTGAGAGGGAGGGCATTAGGTTACTATATAGAGAGAGAAAGAGGGAGAATAGTTGCAAATGAGTGGTGTGTTTTGGTTGATTTATTAAAATTATTTTAACACTTGGGTTTTTTTTTTTTTTGCCTAAAAGCTTAGTTTAGTATAATTTTAAGGTCTTTTTAAAAGTTGATCCACACTTGTGAATTTTTGGCAGAAGGACGGAGGCATTTTTTTTGGGACTTAAAAGACGATTAAAAGTATAAAGACTAATTTATCCTTAATAAAAAAAATAGTTATATTACAAAATGGATAGAAACAGTAAGGCGGTAACTGTAATAGTGACACAGTAATAATAACAGGAATAACAAGATAATAACAATAGCAACGACATTGTAGCAGTAACATTAACTATAGTAGTAACAGTGACACAGTAACAATAATAGTCACTGTCACAATAACATGATCACATTAACAACAATGTCGTGTGGATAAATTGTAAGGGATGATAGTTGGAAATGAAAGTACTATAGAAGGTGATAGAGGTGGAGTATATAGTGGTGATAGATTAAACTGTAGCATGATCATAGTAACAATTATAGTCATTACCAAAATTATACGAAACTAGACTGTAACGTAAATTAGACAGTCATAGCCCATAATTGACCCATAACCCAAGAATCTACCCACAATCCACAGACTAAGTCATAGCCCATAATTGACCCCGGCTCATTATTTGTGTATTTTTTTTATTAAATGTGTTTTAGTTTTTGAGTTAGAGTAGGTGTATATATTTTTGGTGTATTAGTGTGTATATTTTTAATGTATTAGTTTGTGTGTGTTTCGGTGTATTAGTGTGTTTGTGTATGTCTGTATTTTGGTGTACTAATAATGTGTGTGTGTGTGTGTCTTTTGATGTACTAATGTGTCTATTAAGAATTTTAATTATTTTATGCGTTAATTGGTTTAACCCAACCTGTTATAAACCAAATTCATTATAACCTATTTACTAGCTGAGTGAAAAATGAATTTAATTTATTTTAGCCCAATCCAATTTAATCCAACCCATAACTAATCAAATCTACCCATTTGCCACCCTTACTAAAGACCCAATAATTTTGCGCCTGTCCTTATTGATAAAATAAATTATCATATTATACTTAGTTCCAATTTTCACTAATTTTAATATTATGGGTTGGATTAATGACAAACGTCGGGAAAATAAATGTTAACTTTACTTGATTTTCTTGTATTGTGTTAACCACTAATTTAACAACAACAGTGAATTAATTAATTAAATCAATATTTCTTCAAAATTCCATAAAAAAAATCAAGAGATAAACTATTTTTATAGACATTGCCGGCGTTTCTCAATGTGGCTCCGCAATTGCAAATGTGCCAATGCTAGCAAGTTTAGTTTGGGTGAGTAATAAGCTCAATTTGTTGTAAACATCAATTCAAATAAATTCTAATTCAATAATGGTATTTGTACTGAATTTGGGGACCTAATACCGAATTTCATTCAATGTAAAATGTATATAATCCATCTTGTTCTTTTTCTTCGTGCAAATTGCTCTCAAGGAACACGGTTATACTAATGCTAACTTGGCTCCAAAGAAACAACCAAACTGTCATTCGTTCAAGCACCGAAGAAATTAATAAACCAATTGATAAAAGTATCTAAGAATAAATTAATAAAGAGAAAGAATATTGACAAAAAATGTATTAGTAAGAATTATTGATGTTGTAAAGAATCTTGGTAAAAATTATTTAACTTTTTCGGGAAAAAATAAAAAGATATACCAATAAAATAATGACAATTTTTTTAAGTTTAATTGAAATGATCGTAGAATTTGATCCAATAATACAAGAACACGTTCGTTGTATTCAATAAGATTTAATTCATAACCATTATCTTGGATATAACATACAAAATGTATTGATAAGTTTGTTAGAAAATGAAATAAGAAACAATATTATTAAAAAATTTAAAGAAGTGAAATATTATTCAATCATATTTGATTGTACTCCCGATACAAGTGATCAAGAATAAATGTCTCTCATATTACGATGCGTAGATATTACAACAAGTCCAATAAAATAGAAGAATATTTTTTGGAGTTTATTAAAATAGATAATGTGAGTGAAAAATGTTTATTTGATAAACTTATAGATATAATAAGTAATTTTGAACTAGATATTAATGATGTACGAAAATAAGAATATTATAATGGATCTAATATAAAAGGAAAACATCGAGGTGTGTAAAAAAGATTTCTCAATATAAATTCTAGAGCATTTTACATACAATGTGATTGTCATAATTTAAACGTTGTATTTTGTGATATTGCAAGGCTATATCATTTTTGAAATAGTATAACATATATTTTAATTATTTTCATCTTTCATAAAATGATGAAAAATTTTACAAGATAATGTTTAAGGTTTAATTCTTAAGTTATTGTCACAAACATGTTGGGAAAATCGTGTTGAAAGTGTTAAAAAAATAAGATTTTCAGCTTCAAGAATAAGAGATATATTATTATAATTAATAAAAACTAGTGAAAATCCTAAAACAAAAGGTGAAGCTAATTGTTTAGAAACAAATGAGATTGAGAATTTTGAGTTCTTATTGAGTATGACTATTTAATATGATATTTTATTTTACGTCAATATAGTTAGTAAATATTTACAATAAAAAGATATTCATATTGATATTGCTATAGATGAATTAAAACATCGATTAAGATTCAATTTTAGTTGATTAAAATTTATATTTTTTTACTTATTAAAATTTATACTAATTAAATTCGATTTAAGTAGATTAAAATTTATTTTTTTGGTATTAAAATTTAAATCGATTAAAATTTATACCTTTTTACGTATCCATAATTTGGACCAATTAAAATTCGCATTAAAATTTGATTCGAGGAGATTAAAAATGAATTTTAATCAGCTCGAATTAAATTTTAATTGATTTGAATTTTAATATGTAAAAAAATTTATAAAATAAAAGGGGTCTCATTGAAGATATGTCTATCTAGAAGGGGTGTAGATAAACTTTTTCTTAAAATATATTATGGACAATTTAATAAAATTGTGTTCTAGTTAAGATCTTTAATCTAATAGGCTACCGGTGAAGATTTAAAAAATAAAAAAAAATATCTTTGAAGATATAATAAATTAAAAGAAACGACACCGAAATTTCTAAAAAAAAATCTTTGAAAGGAATTGTTGTTCTGTTGACTTTTTGATGGAGCTGATGTACTCAAGAAACTTTCTTATTGTCAAGCATTAAAAATGATTGGTTAGTGCCGGCCAGAATATTTTGTTAGATTAGATTAAAATATTCGGGTTATTTAGGTTAAAATTCGGTTGGCTTGATTTTAACATGAATTCAATCTATTTTTTTTTTGTATTTATATGTGTTGACCCGTTTTTATTCATTGACTCATTTAATTTTGTGTTCGGCCTATTTATTTTATGTTCGATTCGTGTCGTGTTAAAAGATTAACAACCCTAAATAGTCATTATATAGAAATAAGATTCCTATTGGGTGGGTGGCTCCGCCGCCCCGGTGGAAAGGGGGGGGGGGGGGGGGGGGCGAGGCAAATTTCTACACTGACAAACTTCTAATAGTACAAAAAGGTCACGGTGATACTCTACTGTTTCAGAAGTGTAAAATCAAAAACATAATTTTAAATATTTTAATTTTGAAAATTTTGAAAGATGTTTCACATATTTTAGAAATTTAATATTAATATTTTTTTCTACTTGTTTTAAATATATAATCTATATAATAAAGTAACTTACAATTCAAATCTCAAAAATAAATAAAATGACTTTTGTTATTCACGGTTGAGATCGCTTTAAATTTTACTTTAAAGTTAATTTAATGACTAATATTAATATCCTAAATTTAATAGGAAAAATAGGTTCTTAAAGGTGTGTTTGAAGTAACTTTTTAAAACTATTTTGAGCAATTATTTCTCATAAATACTTTAAAAAAAATAATGTTTGAAACCGCTCCACCACTACCTCTACCACCACCACCACCACCACCACCGCCATCGCCCCAGCCGTCGTCGTCGCCACCACCACCATCACTGTCGCCCACCATCTCTCATTCTCACTATAAATCAATGTTTAAATTCTTTTATATTTTCTCTACGTTTGTGATTTGATTTTGAATATGAAAACAAATATGCTTATTGTTTACTATTTTTTATTACTATGTGCCTTCAGGTACAGACAAT